GGGTGGTCAGGCTTGCTGACTTGGTTGACACATGTCATCGTATGATATCGTATTCCAATTGCGTAGATTGATGCTCATGCTGTTGATCACTGGATTGTCTGGTCCAGACTCGATTATTTACAGACCACCGCCATATAGCTGGAATATTGTGGAGTGCAGCATTTAACAACAAACCAAACCTACCTGCTGAAATCTGAAGCCACGACTGCGAAGTAAATCAATCAAGATTCATATAAACACTTGGTATTTGTGTTAATAGTAATACAGAATGATTAAGGATTAACGAGATACATGACAAGATAGTACAATCACACCAAACAGAGATTGGGATAAATGTAGGGCAAAGAATCTGTCACTGAGAACTGTGGAAGTAGTGAGTAAGTAAGTTTAGCTTTTTGCTGCTTTTGGCAATATTCCAGCAATATCACGGAGGGACACCAAAAATGGGCTTCACACATTGTGCCCATGTGGGGAATCGAACCCAGTCCTTCAGCGTGACGATCGAAAGCTTTAACCACTAGGCTACCCCACCACCCCACTCTCGCAGTAAGCATGGGGAACACCCACTTTGTTGTTATTGATGTAGATCCCAACAGTCAGCTGACAATGCAATAAAATAGAATGGCTGAAAACACAACCCACACATATTTACTTAACTTCAGTTAATTACACCAACCATGGCTTCAGAACATGTGTAAAATATTAAAAGGGAGATATTTTATCATTCCTTTTTAAACTGTACAGTATGTGTTCATTCATAATTATATAAATGAATCATTGTATTGAAGCATGACATCAGGAAACAATATGTCAGGAACAGTTTCAATATGCATACCCAGGTTTCAGCTGACAGTTTCCTTAAAAATCTCTCAGTTGTGTCAGTGTCTATATCCTGGCGTTTTGGGTTTATCCTGGCGTTGTGTCAGTCGATGCTTAGGAAACATTAGTTGTTCATGATGCTTAGGAAACATTAGTTGTTCATGAACATATGACGTCCATATAGCTGGAATATTGCTGAGTGTGGCAAACAACAAACATGGACACATGAATCACATGAGCAACTGTAAAACTTCTCATCTCAAAACTGTATCTTGACTGACTGACTGACTGACTGAGTTTGGTTTTACGCCGCTTTTAGCAATATTCCAGCAATATCACGGCTGGGGACACCAGAAATGGGCTTCACATATTGTGCCCATGTGGGGATTCGAACCCGGGTCTTCGGTGTGACGAGTCAACGCTTTAACCATTAAGCTACCCCACCGCTCCAACTGTATCTTGAAAAACAAGCCACCATCACACATTGTATTGTACTCATGTGGGGAATCAAACCCAGGTCTTCAGCGTGACGTGCAAACACTTTAACCACTAGACTAATGCCCCTCTACCATCTGAATATATACAATATGTTTGGGATGTCACCCTCTCATTATAGCACCAGTAATCACAATAAACATGACCATCCGAAAATGTGTGATGTTGAAAAACATAAATCTGATGACATATAGTTAATACAGTAACTTTAAAACAGAATTTTTAGATTTTTGTTTCATACATAATCTGCAGTAGAAAACTACAACCTATCACCCTAAGGTGAATGAACAACTTGCTGGCACAATTCATTGAAGCATCAAAATAACAAAAAATATATTCTTATTAGAAAGTAACAGTCACTGAGATAATGTTCTATAACTTTCTTATTGCAATTACAGTTAGGACTCTTAAAGTTACATTTCAACTCTTAAAAACAGATTTTGACTGACTGACTGAGTTTGGTTTTACGCCACTTTGAGCAATATTCCAGCAATACCACGGCAGGGAACAACAGAAATGGGCTTCACACATTGTACCCATGTGGGGATTCGAACCCGGGTCTTCAGCGTGACGAGCCAACGCTTTAACCACTAGGCTACCCCAGCACTCCAACAGATTTTGAGGATCATGATGTGGTGTTTGGGTGTTTCTCATCACCGCTATAATCTTCAATTGAAATTCGATTTGGAAATAGAGAATAGAATTGGTTTTCATTACCCTACCTCTTCAATTGAAATTCGATTTGGAAATAGAGAACATATCGGGGTTCATACTTTTCATACGATGCCCTAGGGCAAAATATCACTTTGTCATGGTGACGTGACATCATGAGCAATGCTATGACGTCACATTTCTTCTGTGACGTTGCGCTCTACATGCGGCGACGGTGGGTAGCCAGCCTGTTTTTGAAGGTAGATTTGTGTTTATGTTCCTCAATTTGACGACTTCGGTAATAAACAGAATATTATATTTGTGCCTATGTCATACTATGTTTGCGACACTCGTGCCTTAATATCGGTATATCCCTCACTCTCGCTCGGGAAATACCAACATTTAGGCATTCATGTCGTTAACATAGTATGACATGGGCACTCATATAATATCCTCTATATATATCCAGCAGTTTACTGCCCTGAATATATTTTACCAACTTACTGTTTCATAAAACAAACATGTTAAAGGCATTTGCAGAAGGATAATCGAAAGAAAAAGACTCCGGCCATGGCTTTGTCTAACCCATGTTGTAACCATTCTGCTGTTTCCTCTCAACACAGAAATAGCATTGTAATGGTGAATATAACATGAGGATGCAATGATTTCACACAGTTTGAAAAAGCAAAAATTCAAATTTTATAACCATTAAGAAACTCGTCACAATTCAAACTGAGCACTATTTTACACATAATAACTAACTCATTCTCTCTCTGTAAAACTGAACGGATCATTTTGTCATGAGATGGAGAAAGAAATATAATGCTGTCTAACATGTCTAATGGACAACGCATCTGGTCATCAATCATTCAAACCAAACACACCATCATAATTCAAAGGAGGAGAGAAACTTGAAAAGACTTTGAATGTTGGACAGTTATCTTGTAATATCCAGCTACTGAGAAACATTTCGTTCATACTTTCAGTCAGCCAGTGAACATCATGAACATGATGAACAAGTTCGGGTGTGTAATATCAAAGGATGAAAAGGAATTTTGAAGAGAATATGTACAAAGAGACCTTGAATAACTCTTAGCAGACAGTACAGTCAAGGAGTCTTTGGACTGGGTAGAAAGATGCACAGAACAAAGAAAGCTATTTACACAGTCCATACAGGAATCTCTTCAGGTGATACCTGGGACTATTCTGAGATCGATTTTCTATTTCCGTTGATAAACACACAGGTATATAAGCTTAATTTCAGTGACTATTCAGTGACTTAATATTTAAGGGGTGAGCATGTTAATAACAGACATAATAATACCTGACACAAGGGTATTTGTTTTTTTGAGGATATTTCGTTTTCTTAGTTGTCAATGCCATAAGGTAACTATATACTTGATCATCTTATTTCAGGCTGGAAACATATTCAGTTCTGACAGTAATGTAGTTGTAATGAGGTCCTGCAATCAAGGAATCACTGAAAGTGAAACACATAATGCTGATAAATTCAGCCACATTACAATGATATTTTATGTGGTGTTTTGAAAATGTTCACTGGCATATAGACATGACAGACCAACTATCTCACTCATTGACACATTTCCACTAAATAACAGAAATCAGCTGATTCCAGTATACATAGGGGCAATACACATGGGAGGAAAGGAGGGAGGACCAGGCAGCTGTAGAATTGGATCTGTTATATACAAACCCACATTGATAGGTGGGAGAGAAGTCATTTTAAAGTTACGGAGAGTGATGATAACATTCTTTTTCATCTCTCATATCTTTCATGAAAGTCAATGCAATCATAAAGATGTACATCAACAATGTAATTCTTTGTTCATTTTAACAAGAACTGATTCTTCTGGAACACTGAGAACCTGCCTTATTTTTGTGTTTGTCGGTTGCTTAATGCCATAATATTCGGGTTATATCATGAGAACAGTTTGAAAATAACCGAGTCTGAACCAGGTGAAATAACAACTGATATTATGAGCAATGGTTTTCACCATCTGATCATGCTGACACAATATTAACTAAGTCATCAAGATTGACCGCCCTATCCACTTAGATAGAATGTGGAATGCTTGACTTTAACAATGGAAAGCAAGTAAACATCTTGAACAATTGGTTCGCCCTTAGTCACAACTTTCGTCAAACTGCCATTCTCCAAATGATATTTGGCTGACAATTACTGAGTTTTAAATGTACATTTACACACAATATTCATCTGTCAAGAAGAGTATTTCAGAATATGAATATCAATCTGCTTGGGCAAATATGATGCAATTGCAAACACGATAACATACTGAAAAAGAAAATATCCATGATATAGATGTAACCATTAATTATGCTAATGGATATCTTAGGTGATCCTTCATTCAAAACTGGCAAGAATATAGCAATGGTAACTAATGCACATGCCCGACTATGTCAGCCGATGAGAAAGACTTTGGAATAGAGAATGCTGTAGGCTTACTGGGGTTAAAGAAACTAGGAATGCTGAACATAACTTTACAAAACAAAAGCTATGACATAAACATGGAAATAGTGAGAAATAATCTGTGATGTAGTTGTTCCTAGTGATCACTGGCATGATATTGTCAAAGATTGATATCAGACATTGAATGTGGCAATATGAATCCTGAATCACCAACATCCATATTGGTTGACATTGAAGACAGTATCTTCAAAATGGTATTTCTGACACTGGCAATAACACTAATCCCATGGTTTCAAGCATGGATATTCATTATAGTAAACGAACTACATATCAGCTTGATATAACAAAGTATTTTTCCGGCCATGTGTGAGACATGTGTGAACAGATGGTAATTGCTTTTGAAGATTCAGTAACCAGAATATTTTGAGTTTCAGTTGCTATAACACAATGACAATGGTTCCAGACATCTGGAAATATTCAATGGCAACATCTCAATCAAATTCTATAGCTGTCTTCCTATTATTTTTCAAATATCGTGAGAAAAATAAATATTAGTCATGTTTCTAAACACAGACATTTGACTCACAATGTTCACGCTTGCTTTTCTCAGTTCACGATTTTCCTCTTGTAACGATTTGCATTTTAGCTTGTAGGTTTCCAACTCCATCTTCAAGACTCTGTTTTCCTGACCTAGCGATTCTATTCTCTTTTGCAGTTGTTCCATCTGTGCTGGCGACGGTGGTTTCATCGTAGGGCCCCCGTCAATGGAGCTTGTGTCGCTCTCCAACTCACTAGCACTGTCCGCCATTGTGATCGACAAAGATCAACAAGCGTGACTACCTAGCCGCCACTACGACGACATATATCAATACAATTTTCAATCTATACGACTAATACCAACGTTGAATTTCAACACAAGAACACATCGGTTCGAATTTTTGTTGATTAATCGACTCCATGGATAATGCAGCGACGTGATACATCTGTCAATAAAATAAATTGACCTTGCGTTGGGTCATGACCCGAGAGGTCATTGGCATGGAAAGGGATCCCTGAAGTATTTAAAACGAATTTCTAAAATTTAAACCATATAATTTGAATTGATACAATGTTGCAGTACATGTAACTTTTTATATCAAGTATAAAATGGATTTAGAAATATTCTGTTGAGAAACTAGGAAACTATTACACATTCTCTATCAGACAAATATTGAAACAATAACTACTCCTAAAACCCGGAAATTAGTTGATATTCCACTAAAGGTCAAAGGTAAAGCACGTTGCGATACGCCCGCAGACGACAGATAGCGGCAACATAATGGATGCTGTGTGGAAAACCATGAATGATTATTTACCAAAGACTAAAGAAGTAAGTTGGTCATGCAAGATGTGCAACATAAAGTGCAGTTAGGATGACATCACTGTGTTGACAAAACAAATGACATGTTGACTGCACGAGTCCCATCTCTTGTCAAAGGCAACGACAAATGCGCTGATCGAGTTATTTTGTCTTTTCTATTTATGGGATTTGATGAATTGCCGGCTTAGGCTAAAGCGTAAGCTCATGACTTTCATGGAACCGCAATAACCTTCATGAAATGACGTAACTAGTGCCATAGTCTGGTTCTTGGGCAATCTGGGGAAAATCCTGGAAAATGTTGTCTTTTGACCAAAATCAAATTGAGATCTTATGCAACATTCTTCACTTGACTGAATTATAAGGATAATAATATCCGTAAGCACGGCTAAACATCAGTAACCTATTATTGTGTGTTATTACTGTGTACAAATATTGTTGTTTTAGTTTGCGCTTAGAATCCAGAAAATGAATTGGGGAAATCTTATTTTATTTTAATTTTTTGTAGTTCTTAATGATCATATATTATCTTCCAAATAATGTAAGTTCTTTTGTGACATGCAAATATATCTTGATTCCTCCCACTGATTTTCTTCTGAGTTATGTTTATTCTAGGAATAAAACTTGCCATCTGATAAAACCTTTAGGGGAATATATTTCAAACAAGAGTAGGATTATTGCAACAATCTCCAAATGGTTAAACAATTCATCCTTAGAAAGAGGTGCATGTTTCTCTTAATCTTCAGAATATGTCAGTCATAAGGAAGCTCTAGGATCTGTGTGACAATGAAGTCAAATCAAGTGTATGATAAGACCATATGACAATATATTCAGAGATAGAAAGTGAATGGGTTTTTTTTCATTACATAACAAAATTATCTGCTATTGAGTTGCCATCTTCCTAAGGGTAAAAGTGGTAGTTATGTCACAAGTTCATTCTGAATAATATTTTGGATTTATGCTAATTTAAATCCCTGATCATGCTCTATTTGAAATGTTGCATAATGGGTCCAGTTTTACAAAGTTACTATAATTACTGATGATTAATCTGTTGATTATGACATGAATGGACCAGGAAGTCATTAAATATTCAGATCCCTGATTGATATGATCCACTAGTCAAAAGGCTTTGATAATGAGTCACTTACGGGTCAGATGCCATATGGCTGCACAAGGGAATGACAAGGTGGTGATGCTAAAATGTTACATCATTGAATATGTTCTGCTGTGAATACAGTACCTTTCACTGAGTGATGATGGCTGTTGTTTCATGGTTACATTTCTTCATAGGATAATAGCTATAACAAAATATTACACCCATGTACATGGTAAATAGGCATAACTTCTAGTTTATAGTTTCTACACATTGAAGCCATTATTCATTACACAAAGTTCTCTGAAGCTATTATGTGTTGTAATTTTATGAAAAGAGATTATCATGGAATCGGTGTAAGGACAGGATCATACTTTGCTCCATGCTATTCTCCGTTAATATATGACCAGTTCCAAAAATGTACAGTAAATTGTCACATTGCTTACATATTGTATTTGTAAGAGTAAAAATAGTTTGGTGATCTCAACCCAACTTTTACGATTTTTTAATGGCTGCCCCTTCTCAAAACAAATAACCAGTACCTCAATGGATAAATCAAATTTTGAAAACACAGCACATTATTAGGAATAGACCGATCCAGTCTGTCAATCAAAACTGGCGCATGCGTCAATTTTGGCCAATCAGCAGGCCGGGCGCGCTGTGTGGATTTGTCAGACTTATTTCCGGGGTCAAACGATGCCTCCGAAGCGATGTGCTATGAATTATGCCATTTACACTCGCTATATCTATTACATATTGCTGTGATTTGATGTGTACCTTTACCAAAACCATTACGATCAAGACAAAAAAATTGAGGCGGATCAAGGAATGCGATAGGCCTAACGAGCAGTTAAATGTCGGCACCGTTGCTCACGCGAACCTACGCCTGCTTTCGAAGGTGAGAATTTACACGAATTTACACACTTTCGCACATGTGCAAAAGCATTACCAATAGATGACAACAAATAGTAGTTTAGGATTTTGCAAGTGTTATAAACACGGGCAATTCTTGTAACTACAAAATTGTTTTTGCTTCACGTTTTTAGTCACTACTAGGCATTGAGTTGGTACACCATAAACCTGAAATGAGACAGGCGAGAAAGCCGTGACACAATGTAAACAAATCTGACAGCGAGCTGATTTCGGTTAGGGTCGACCGAAATAGAAAAACTTGTTACATTAAAGAACAATGTGGTGGATATGGTTGCATTCGCGATTAGATATTCTTAAATTTGTCACACATTTTAGGATGTTTTAAAGTTTCAAAAGCACAATCTGAAGGCCTATGAACAGTACAGTATCTGTTGATAGTGCAAAATATTCGAGGAGTAATATTTCTTTTATCCAAACAGAAATATTGTCAGTGTCAGCAGTTGCCTATCAGGCAATATCAAAACATCAAAATTAATTCAAATGAGTGTCTATAAAACCATGTCTTAAATATTTCAGAATTTCTATAAAGAGATGGGACCTTGAATTGATTTAGCTTACTCCATGTGGATCGGAGACGAAGACTATGTTAGAAGAATATGACTTTCTGGAATATCGGACGCAGTGAAATATAAGTTTATTTTCTAACTATGAGAACATTCTTTGTTTTGATTTTTTTGTCACAGCATAATTCTTTTACATGTAGGGTGGGGTGAGTGGGTTACATTGGTACATTTTAGAAGTAATAACATAATTCTGTCATTTTAATTATAATTCACTGGAAATGATAGCAAAGTATGCTTTAAGAATCTTGCCTCCTTCAGGAAACGAGGAAAAGGTAATAAAATAGATAATAATCCAATCAATTATAAATAATTACTTAATTGACTCACATATCAGATTCATGTGAAATTAAGGCAGAACTAGGCAAACAAACACTATATTACATATCATGGCTGAACAATCACTTGATACTAAGTTAGCTTGTTTGTTTTAAGATATATTTGGTCTTTAAATAATATGTTTACTAATAAGATTATTCAGAGAGTGAACACTAGTATCATCACTCATAATAAAGTTATTTCAACATCCAGAGAATTTGAAGAAAAAAACAAAGGCTACATTGTGGTCACACCCAGGCATTATTCAGTCTTGGAACCAAATAACTTACAGAATTCTAAGTTGACTGTTCATGTAACTGGAATGGATATTGAAACATATAATATTCAACCCCGATTTCATGTAATACTTTTTAGAAATCATCAGCTTTTGAGGAGGTTACCAATATTTGAAGACTGAGCCAAAATAGTGTTTATTAAGATGTTGGTTTTGGACAAATTGTTCAAGGTTTGTTGATGCTTATTTGGAAAAATAAGCTTAAATTCATATTAAATTGCACACTGGTTTAATTGCAGGAGGTGAAAGCTTCAGGACATTTTCATGTATGTTTTCCTAAACTTTTGTTTTGACTTTTACCAAATTTTTAAGCAACTTTAATATAATTTTGATGACACTAGTAAGTATCTCAGAAAAGGAAATAGATCAGAATTAGTGTTATGTCCCTAAGGGATATGGTCTCAGATCTAATAAGATTATCATTGTTTAAGAAGCAATAATGTCAAGATGTAATTTTATTGACAAAAGCTTTAAACTTTGAATATATTCTTTGCCTCTTATTTACATTAGTAGTTAGCAGTTAAATATATCTGAAGAAAAAGCAGTATATTTGTATGTTGTGTAACATTCTATTTCAATGCTAGTTAACTGTTCGGATAACTGTGGATCCTCTGTTCAAAGATTTTGCATCACACGTTTCCTATTTACGGAAGATGTGTCAGTGTACAGGTGCAGACTGTATCTTGGATTCTTTGTGTTTATGGTGGTGTGACATACCTGTAGATAAATGCTGGCAGTTCATGAAGTCCATTATATAAGTGGAGGTTTGTAGATTAGGATTCCACAACAAAGTACACATAGAAAAATAAATTGGGAAGGATTATTAAAAAAATGGATTTCCTTATATTCAGTGTCATTTTAAGATGGTGTACAGATTTTGAAGAGAGAAATTTTACTTAGAATAGCTGCAGATTAGCTGCTGAATATTTGCTTCTGGGTATATCCAGATACATCCATGGAAACATACTGTGTTAACAGGTCCAGTAACGTTTTCAAGATAATATATACAGACAAACAAGGTGGACGCCAGTAGTAGACGGGATACTGTTTTCCCTCGCGTTGTTCCTTGAAAGGTAGAAACCCATGTTTTCACAAACTTCTAATGTAACTAATTTTGAACAAAGGATAAATAAATAAAGGTGGCACGCCAAGCAGTTTTGACAATCTTTTATAGATACCGAAACGATCTGCAACTTGCACATGTGGTTGTGTTCCACGGTTTTATATTATTACGATGGGAAATTTTAGAAAAAGCAGCAAACAACATAATTCAGTTACCTTTCCCCTGCTAATAACTTACCCGAACGGAATTGCGGATAGATTATTTGGTAGAAAATATAAACTCTAATCTCAGCAGCTGGCTGAGACGATTTTTCATCGGCATGTAGATCTAACTACATTTTCACTCGCCAATTATACAACCTGTCAACTAAAATATATTGAAAATAAAATACGTATAACTTTCCTTTTTAAATATCATTCACGAACGACGGATACCAAAGTACAACAAACAGAATTCATCAACAACATTCGCAATCACGTACGTTTCGCCGGCGGTGACGCCATTGTGATTAGTCAGTAGTTGTCCCCCCTAACGTCAAAAACGAAGTGGGCGGGGCTTATCGTCCGGGACTGGATCGGTCTATTGTGTTTCAGATATTGTCAAATAATGTAACTAAGCATGAGGTGGATTCTGAAATATGTATAAAAACACATTGAAAAATTGCTGGAGGTCTGAACCATCTGATCACAGAAACAAGAGCGGTATCGGGTTCATTATCCTTAAAGTGAGAGCCTTTTAGATTTGTCATTC